CGTACATCGCCTGACTCGCCTGCTGACTCCTCAAGGATTGGCCTTATCGCCGCATTGTTCGCTTGGGAGCAGGGGCCGAAAGTCTGAGTAGCATTTGCCCATGCGCCTGTAAACACCTGGGACATGGCTGAATGTGGTTGGGGATTACGCGATTTGACCACCTTTTGCGCTGGATTTCCATGGCTCTTCGAGACGCTGCATCTGGCCCTTTTGGAGCATGGCTGGGCTCGGCACTTCGTATATGCTGAGTAACTGATGATAACTACCAGGGTATTGGATTGTCGCAATTGGGGCGGCACAGCTTTCTGGAACAAGCCTGGAACATATTTCCAGACAGGAGCCGATTCCTCGATGCCATATTGTTACTTTAAAACAAGGCATGGTGTTGGGTTCAGTCATCTCTCGCTTCCCTGGTCGTTTTCTCTGTACAGCAGAGTCTTGCTCGAATGCTGAGTAGATGGCTGATTGTTCGAGACAAGTGTGATGGGTTTTCTCTTGACAGCTGTCACAACTTCACTTGAGACTTGATGCTCTTTCTCTGGCCTTGCGCACAGCATACAGGCTCTGTCTATACAGAGCTAAAGGATCCTGCGTCGAGGCTGGTGTATGGACAAGTGGGGATGGTGTTACCCATGGGGCTATAGGCATGAGTTCAGATCGTGCCTGAAGCTGAAAATGCAGAACGTTCAACATATCACCGCACGGGAATTGACTCTCGGAAGAAATAGAGGGGAGCTTCAATGGATGGTAGAGTAGGGATGTCGGGTAGCCGGCGAGCGGGCAAGCAACAGTCCTCGGCCCCAACACCACATACCGCCATGCCTAGTGGAAGATGACGGGCAGTAGTGAGGCTGGAGTGACATGCAATGCAATAATATGTGATGATACGTATATAAATCACCCCTGCAGATATATCCCTTGTCGCTTGTCGATACTCGGTCCGTGCTTCTCCGTTTCAAGAGCGATGTCTGCTTACACTCCCAGTGCGCAGATCTCTGAAGAATACATAACATGGTTCTTTGGTGCCGTTATCTCCTGGCCGCTCATACGGCGGACTTGCGCCGCGTGAAGACTCGTTTCAGTCTGCTGCTTTTCCCTTCTGGTGGCGTCTCCGTCGCTTCAGCACTGGCCGCAGCGGAATTCTCTCTGGACAGGTTTGTGTTACTCCCATTGTGCTCGTCGAGGGTTGGAAGTTGAGGGGCCACCGTCGCTCTCCTCTGGTCTCGCACACTCTTCTTCGCACCCCTGGTAGTTCCCTGTTTGTGGAGAATATCATCCACAGTTTTGGTGCCGTAGAAACCTTGTAGTTGTTCGTCGTTCTCATAGTACAGTTTTGATTGGGCCCATTCTTTGAGGGCATCAAGGTAAGCTTGCTCGGAGGGGAACCCTCGGTATCTCTGGTCAGTGACAAGTGTGTCGATGGATTGCGCCGAGAAAATGCTCGCAGGTCGCGACGACTGTGTCTGTGACTGAGGCTCCCGGTCGAAGGTCGACTTTGGCTCCTTGATGGACATGATGGAGAAGCGATCCAAGATCACGCAAGAGCAGTATTGCTGATGAGATGCGAGAATAATCCTACTTTCGAAGAGGTATCTGGGCGAGTTGGACGTCAAGAAAGGGCCGAGAACTTGTGAGTGTTGTAGTCACACCACAAGTAGCGTTCTCTTGCAGGTCACTCGAACTAAGTATATTTAGACTTTGCCACTTCTTCTTGACCTGTCTCTTGTCTTTGCTGTCGTGGGAGAGAGCGAGACTATTATCCGTGATCTCCTACCCCTCGACCCCGCCCAACAGAGGCAGCAGAGCGGTGATCCCAGAATTAGAGGGGCGTCATCGATTCGTGTACATAGTAGGATGACCGGCCATTTCCCAGGGACGGGCGGCCGGCTGCAAGGTGATGGTCGAGGATGAAACCAGATAAGAAATATTGCATGCCCAGATATGCCAATGCTTGTGAGCAGGACACCCACGTGTAGCATCTGGGGCCCAGCACATGACACGCAGACTTTACCAACTGTAGGATGGATCCGGAGCCGCAGTCGTCCGGCATAAAAAGCAACGAGTCTCCAACAGTGGAGTTCGACTTGTGTGGTACACCACATCACAAGGTACAAGGTACCAGGTACTGTATGTACGCTGGCATGTACGTGAAATATGCAGTGGCCGTATGTGGGAAAGGTTGCAGTGACCAGAGGGTTCAAATAGCCCGCAGCCTGGAAAATGTGAGGCTTTTGGCATACATATCCATACGAGGTACCCCAGGTCCAGGTCTGTGAGAGACACTGAGAGTCTCACTCTCGCTTAAGCCCGATTTTTCCAATGTTCCTCAATCCCCAGAGACTCACTACAAGGGTGCTCGACGTTACAGCTAAGCAGAACCAGAAGGCTGCTCTATATCCCTCCATCAGAGCCTTTGGCGCCTGTTTATCTTGATAGTCGGACTGCATGGTGATACTTCCGGCGATAACAGCAGACAGAGCAAGACCGACGCTTTTGCCAATCTGAGCCACAGTGTTGAAGACTCCTCCTGCCAAAGCCTGGGTCTTTTCTGGAAATGCGGCAGTGATGACCAAGTTCGAAACAGTAAAGAGAACGTCTGGTCCTATGGCGTTCAACGCTATAGCGGGGAAAACATATTCCCAATAAGGCGCACGGACCTTCATGATCGCGACGAGCAGGGGTGAAATGGACGAAATGGCCATGGTGATGATGACAGCCCAGTCCGCGCGAACTTTATGCACCGCCAAACCCATGATAATATTTGTGACTACACCAGCAACTGGAGCTGGCAGGAAGCGGAGAGAGGTCTGTGTCGCGCTGAGGTGCTGAACATCCTGGAAGAAGAAGGTAAGTAGGGTTTCGGTGGCGTTGAATGCTCCCCATGCCAAAAAGACGTCGATGCAAACGCTCGTAAAGATCCTATTGCGCCACAGCGAGTTTGGGATGATTGCTGGACGATTGAGCTTCTCCTGTCGGCCAACCCACAGGATGAATGCCGGGATCAGAGCCACTGCCGTTGACAAACATGCGATGTTGGTGGGTGACTTTATGCTTGAAACATTGCCAGTCAGGACACTATCTTCTTTTAGTTTGGCCTTCGAAATCGTCATGTGGATGGATACTCACGCAAACACGTAAGAGAGGAGACCTAGCGCAGTGCTGAGGATCAAAGCCCCGGGCCAGTCAATGTCTGTCGCCAGCCTTTTGATTGACAACCGTGTTGGCTGTGCGGACTTTGGCAGACCGGTGACAGCCAATGCGAAAATGACAGCATTGATGGCGGCTGCAATATAGAATCCGGCACGCCAACCCGGGCCATCAGCCAAGATACCGCCCATAACAAGGCCGATTGAGAAGCCTACAGGCTGACCAGCACCCATCATTGCAAACGCAAAATTGCGACGACGCCCGTGAGGAAAATACGACGTGATGAGACTCACGGCCGAGGGCAGACAGAAGGCAATTGCAACGCCGGCCAGTGCGCGGAAGAAGAGGAGCTGTAAGCTGTCCTGCGCCAGTCCACATGACAGGGTAAATGCGCATTGAAGTAGGCATCCTAGCAGATACATGAAACGATTGCCTACCACGTCGGCCACAGCTCCTGAAAGTATCAGTGAGCAACCGCAGGTTAGAGCATAGATTGACGCAGGCCTTCGACGTATAGTTAGTCTTAGACTGCACAGAGTATTCGGTGGAAATACCATAGAAGAACAGAGTCTGGAAGATGAAGGTCTTTGGCCAGTGTTGGTAGAGTCACGGTTACCAGCCCAGCCAGGAGACTGCTGATGCCCGTAACGCCAGTCACAGAGACAAAGATCACCGCAGTAGAGCCTTTCCGTAGAACAGGCTGCGAGGTTTCAGGAATCCTTTCAGACAGAATGCCATCATCATCATCATCATTATGGGCTATTGGTGGCTGCGGCGTAAGCAGGGCCGAAGCTGGAGGTGTGAGTTCGATCGTGGTGGTTTTGGACATTGTGGAAGCAGGCTATCCTCGTCAGATTACTGTTTCTGCTACAATTTGCAGTAAAGTAGATTGTGATATAGCATTTTATATGTATCTCCCAGAAGTGCCCGAGATTTTGGGCCCATCGAAGGGCGTGTGCTCATTAATGCCGTGATGTCACTCTAGGGCTCTCGACTTGTGGTGCTGGTGCTACCTCTGGGCATTTGATACTCCCGCCGGAAGGAAGAATGGTAATCCGAAGCCTCACGCTAAACTATTTTCAATGCTTGGCATATTTGGACAGTTTCATATGTTTGATGACCTTGGTGGCTCACGAAGCTTTCGCCAATCTCACCGGCTCTCCTGATTGATGGAGATTCGGCACCTGCGTCTCTCAAAAAAATCAGGTACAGAGCCGCCAAGGTGCCCCCCCTGAACACGCCACTCTCAAAGCCCACCACTCACCGCCTCAGCACATCCGGCTCCCTAGGACTGTCTGCGCGTCAGTCCACTGCCGGCACCACCACCACCTAAACATCTGTGTGGTACCTACCCGGAAGCTCCAGAGCCGCCTCCAGGCCCGAGTGATGCCACCAGGACATTGCCCAATAAAACTCCCCTGCCAGCCCACCTTGCCAATCGAACAAGGGCTTTCCGGAACAAACCACTGAATTTCAGGGTCTTCTTTCAATTCGAGATTCAGATAATTTGTTGACCGAGAGGACTTTTTGTACCTTTTTTCTCTATCCTGCGTGCCCTACTCTCTTCTCCTTCCACAACCAGTCTGCCGTTGTCTTGTCATTTGTTCTCCGTCGCTCTTCCTACCTCACACTTTGTTGCTTTCGAGGTTGGAGCAGTCAAGATGTATGCTCTCCTCCGAAAATCCAAGAAACACTCCCGGAATGCAATAGTTTGGCTGAACTAACACACCTCTTGTAGGAATTCCACAACCTACGTCGCACCCGTCACTTACACGGACTACTTCAACGATATTGCCGCCTACAATGTACACCTGAACATCTTTGAGAAGCTCTGGGCAGCATGGTACGCGTACATGCAGAACGATGTTTTAGCGACGGGCATTATGAGCTTTGCCATGCATGAACTGGTGTACTTTGGGAGGTGTGTCCCTTTCATGATAATGGACAAGATTCCCTATTTCAGGAGGTATAAGATCCAGGCGGTAAGTCCTCCCATATCTCTCAGGATGCAGGTTTCAAGAACTTTGGGTCGCTGACACCAAATTCTTCCAGAACAAAATGCCCACACTTTCCGAACAATGGGCATGCGCCAAACTGGTCCTCCTGTCTCACTTCACCGTCGAACTCCCTCAAATCTGGCTCTTCCATCCGATGGCACAATACTTTGGCTTGTCCACCTCCGTTCCCTTCCCTCCGTGGTATACTATGGCCTGGCAAATCGCCTTGTTCTTCGTTCTCGAAGATGCATGGCACTATTGGTTCCACCGAGTCCTCCACTTGCCTCGACTTTATAAGATGATTCACAAGCTGCATCACCAATACAGCGCCCCATTTGGGCTTGCCGCTGAATACGCCTCCCCACTGGAAACCATGATTCTCGCATTCGGCACCGTTGGAATCCCCATTGTCTTTTGCGCCTTTACCAAGAACCTCCACATCGTGACAATGTACCTCTGGATCGTGGGGCGACTTTTCCAAGCGATTGACGCGCACTCTGGATATGAGTTTCCATGGTCACTGCATCATCTCTTGCCTTTCTGGGCCGGAGCCGACCACCACGATGTGCATCACGAGAAATTCTTAGGGAACTATGCCAGCTCCTTCCGATGGTGGGACGCAGCATTGGGTACCGACATTGGAAGTGCTTCCGAAGGGGCAAAGAAGAAGGCAAAGAAGATCGCCGAAGCCAAGGATGAATAGAATCATGCTGTTGGCGGAAACTTGACAGCATTTGACAAGAAGTCTCAACCGAGCTTCGTTGTACATAATCGGTAAATTTCACTGTGAAGAGCGAGAAGCGGCGGGATACTTGGGTGCATACGTGGCGTTGGGTTGCATAGAACAGGCATGGTAACTGGATAGGTTGGCATATTCATGATAGTCCCCTCAAAACTTGAGTATCATTATAGTTCTGAGATGACTTCGTCTCGAGTTTTTGCTCTTCTCTTGCTGATCTTCGCAGAGACCATTGCCTGTTCTCGCTGTGGTCCCTTCTTTAGCGGTATGATTCTCCTTGAGCGGGGAGTTTCAACTTCGAATCACGAGGGTGCCGCTATGCCTGGTCTCATGAAGATTCGCCTGGGGTGGCAGCAGGTTTTGCTTTGGCTGTACCGCAGGAGCAACTTTCCAATGCTTCGGATATTTGCCGCCGGTTGAGGGCAATCATTTGTTCGCGATGATGGACCAGCCGTTTCTCAATCTCATCCGAATCTTGCGTGCCATCTGGGCTGACAGGCTCCGTGACGCTGAATGCACCCAGGATCGCGTCAATCTTGTGTGCAAGCCTGGTGTCTCGAACGCTCAGACCTCGAGGACTGTGGGTTGTACATGTAATGGTCATGTATCTGTTTTCTCCGCCAAAATTTCCACGACTAATGTGTGGGTGATGATTCATTTTCTCAGCCTCGGCCATAATCAACCGTTCCGCCTCATCGCACTCCCGGACAGAAGGATGGGCCGTGTGTCGATGTATAGCATCGCCGAGGGCATCGAGTTGCCATTGGGTCGTGCCAAATGACAACCCTGATGAACGCTTCAACGGGAGATCATCTGGCCGAGAGGTTTCCGATGTTGAAAGCAACGAGGCAAGGGCATCCGCAAGCTTATCACGGTTTGCTTTCGGAGTAGGTGAAAGCTTCTGCGAAACTGTCTCGCCATTGTTCAGACGGAATGTAATGGTTTGGCGGTCATCGGAAATTGCGATTGGGTCGCTCGAGGAGAGGGACAAGCATATTTGCGGCTGTGAGGAGTACATACAAGGACGAAGCTGGGGTGTCCGCTGGCACTGGAGTCGCAGTTTGTTCACATTACGATAAGCTGATGCATTTGCATGAGACCGGACGAGATAGCTTCCTACACGACCAGCAAGTCGCATAGTTGGGAAAGCACAAGAGCTGACTCTTGCAGGGTTTGGAACAATTCAACGTATTAAGTTGTTTGCTGACTGCGATGCAGCCAAAGCAGCTCAATTGCCTGCAGCACCTGCGGCAGTTGCGGTTCCTACCGAGCCTAACTACCCCTTCTGGAGCTTGTCATCAATTCCACATCCGGCATCTACCATGTACCAAGGATCTCGTACTCGTTAACACCACCAACCTCCCGTGAAGCAAGGATCATGGTCAACTAATTGTCAGCATCTTATCCTCTTCATTATTCTTTCTCGTGCCTTCAGTCGCACGGTGATTGTCCTTTGCCAGAGAATGAAAGCACAGAACATTGACGGCCAGCGGTCTCCCTTCTGTTCGGGCGCAGTTTTCGATTGGTCTTCACGACAATCAACCGCGTCCACACACGAGCTACTGGATGCAATGGACCGCGTACAAGGAATTAGGATCAAACACCATCTTCCCTGGTCTCCTCCAAGCTTCGGCTCAGATCCTGCCCACCCACGAAGGTTCTGCCTTGCTATAAATTCCTGAAACGCTTGTCGTTTGGCACAAGCCTCGCGAACAGGCATTGGTGCGAACCTCGCGCCTACTCAGCCCCCGAGCGATGGATTCGCTTGCGCAATATTACAGCCCACCTAGTGGTAAGCCTTATGCAGGTACACCGAATGCCAGTCTCTGGGAGCTTCCTTATGGAAGGAACGCGCCCAATGCGTGAGCTCGTGTCTGAATGTACTTTTCTTCTCATATTTCCTCCATTTGCGGCGCATTGCTTTACAGGTTCAATAGGTTGCTTTTCGGGTCTGCGTTACATTTTCTGGGTCCGTCAGTTCAAGCATTGCTCTGGTCGTCTTCCACCAATCTAGAGAGCATCGGCGAAGGACATAATAACGCAAATCTCGGGGGACAAAAGAATGCGCCGAGTTGAATTTCTTTTTCCACTTCTTACCGTCAATTGCGCGGTGAGAGCAATTCCCCTACAGCGAGATATATACGACCCTCTACTCCCTCTCAAAAGCGTCGCCAGCGAGATCTTCGGCTACACGACAGCCATCTCTGGACCAGAGTCGTCCATAGAGCAAACACAAACAGCTCTCTCCGCTTCCTCCACTCCTTCAGCAGATTCACCAGCAACGTCTGCCCAATCAAGCAACACACAGACTGATCTCACCGGAACAGGATCTGTAACAGTTACCCTCAGCAATACACAGCTGTCCACTGGAAGTGCTTTACCTACGGACGAAGCTTCCAACTCCGCCGTCGGCACAGCGACGACAACGCCCACTGGCATTCTTTCATCATCGCCGGGCTCAACTGGCGTGCCTATCAGCGTGGTTCCCACCAGCACTGAAAGCAGTGGCTCGTCGCCTACCGATGCCGGCTCTGGTCCTGGGTCAAACTCTGGATCAGGAGGGAATTCAGGCTCAGGGTCAACATCAGCCGACTCAACGAGCGGGTCAGGTCTGTCGCCAGGAGAGATTGCCGCAGCAGTCATTCTCCCTGTTCTCGCTTTGGCCGCTTTATTGTTTCTTCTCTTCCGCTTCTGTAAACCTCTCCGCGAAAAGTTTCAAGCTTGGCGGCAAGAAAGACTGGATCGATCCGCGTACCGACGAGCGCTTGATGATCCTGTTCTTGCCTTCGGCATGCGTCAACAAAGCGATCGAGGTTCAAACGGTTTTGGCATGGTTGACGAGGACCAGTCGGCACGGCCGTTGTCTTTTGGATTCCGGAATCCTCAGAAACAATATCCTAGCATCAAGAGAAAACCTTTGACTTGGGATGCTGCGCGAATAGGCGGCCAAGGAGCCTCATCAATTGGGATGGCAATACCAATGCCCCTGGGACACCGTCCTCGGAGCCTCAGTGAGATATCGGAGGTGAGCGACATCAGCAGTGATGGGGAGGCGAGATATGAGGACGCCCGGTCGAATCAAGTATCGCCAGAAGGGATCCTTTCATGATGTCAATGACATATTTCACATTTTCTTTTGTCCAGCGACATTCTGTCTATTCATGAGCGAGCAAGCGATCAATATTCTGTAAACGTATTCGACCTGACTTGGAGTGTGGGGGTGTCCATTTCTGAGAACAGTTTGGGCCCTGTAGATATGTACCCAAACAAAAAGTGGGATTAACTAGTATGATACTTACATGGTACCTTTTGGAGTAACGAGGAACGAAGTAGTTTTACGAGAGTGATACATCTGGACATGAACTTGTAGTAATTATTATCTGAGGAGTGGGCATCAACGACAAGCAACCAATGGCAGGCAGCGTGACACGAGCCTCTGGTCCTATTGGCGATCCGACCCTCATAACAGCCTGATCAAAATTCAACAAAAGAAGCAGACAAACACGAAAAGAATATTATAATACTAGACGAAAGAAACGTGCCTTGCATATATCTGCTGACCCTCCCAAACTCCTCTATCAACACCCAACAAACTCGCTAAAAACCGAGGACGACAACCGCGAGGTAGTTATTTTGTACGGAGAAAATTATGGACGACATCGACCTCCCCACCCTGCGGGACAACCTCATCACCATCGCCCTGCAGGCGGGCTCGATGATCACCGCTGCATCGTCGTTGTCCTTGAACAGCGGCAGCCCCGGCACGCAGCCGAAAGCGGCCACGTCGACGAAGAAAAACTCGGCCGACCTGGTCACGGAGACGGACAAGGCGGTCGAGGACTTCATCTCCAGCACGCTGAAACGGCTGTACCCGACGTACGAGTTCATGGGCGAGGAGACCTACGTCCCGGGCAACAAGCTCGGGCCGGAGCCGACCTTCATCGTCGACCCGATCGACGGGACCACGAACTTTGTCCACGGCTGGCCCTACGTGAGCGTCAGTCTGGGGTTCGCGGTGAATCGCGTGCCCACCGTCGGCGTGGTGTTTAACCCGTTCACACGCAAGCTGTACCACGCGATCAAGGGCCGGGGGAGCTACCTCCGGATCGTGCGAGAAGAAAGCGCGGCTTCGTCAGTGTCTTCTTCGGCGGCGCCAGACGGGGCCGACACGAAGCTGCCCCTGAAATATCCCGGCGCGGTGGCCGGGCTGGACGAGTGCGTCGTGGCGATCGAGTACGGCAGCGACCGGACGGGGACGAACTGGCGCACCAAGATCGAGACGTGGGCGGCCCTGGGCGCCAGCAAGGACGAAGGCGGCGCCATGGTCCACTCGGCCCGCGCACTGGGCTCCGCCGCCCTCAACTTGTGCGCCGTCGCCGAGGGCTCCATCGACGTCTACTGGGAAGGCGGGTGCTGGGCCTGGGACGTCTGCGCCGGCTGGGTCGTGCTCACAGAGGCCGGCGGGCTGGTCGTCGACGGCAACCCCGGTGCCTGGGACATACCTGTCGATCACAGAAAATATCTCGCCGTGCGGGCGGCGGAGAAAGGCCAGAGGGAGCTGGTGCAGGAATTCTGGTCATTTATCAAGGGCCGTATGGAGTATGAGCATTGATAACTCGTGAGGGTGGAACAAAGTTGAGCCGCCTACTGGAGGATGCTGGACGTGATACGGGATGAAAAAGCAGCGAAAATAGACATATAGAAGACGAAAACATTGTGAATTCGGCAAGTCAACATGCTCCAATTTTGTGGCCTCCTGAGACTCTCTATCCTTTCCTTGCTGGGTGTCCCGATAATGTTACATTTGACGCTATGCAGAAGGAAAAAGGGAGACCCAACATGAACACAGCATGAAACTCACTTCCATAACTTGCCCAGTGACACCTCCTTGTCATCGTGCTTGTTGAGGACTTTGGCCGTGGCCAGGTCAAAATCTTCTTGCGTGACGTGGACTCTCCTTTCTC